AAGTTTTCAAGCCCGGTTTTCGGATGGATAACCACGTGCGAAAATACTTCAGTCTAATATTTGATTCACGGCAGACTTTACTCTATATTTATCAAAAACTGCTAAAAAACTTTCTTCTTTTTTTTTTTATTATAAATAACATGAATAAATAAATAATTTTTTTTGTCCCATACATTACTGTAAATCCCTTCGTACACACCACAAAAACAATCACTCTGTGGTCCATTAACGTGAGTTTCAGGCCCAAGGGGAGGTGGGTGGGGAGAAGAGTGACTCAAAACCGCACAGCGTTGCGGGTTTCCTGTGGTCATTTAAAATGGCGGACGAAGTCTCTGAACTCTAAATAAAATCTTACGAGAAGAAGAAAGATCATATACCATCGTCCATGAGTACATTAATACGTACTGGATTTGTAATTAGAAGAGTATTTAGTACGATGAAGAAGTTAGAGCCGTATGAACCGCCATCATGGGCTTCGATGCTTAAGAATATACCGACTCATTACGTCAAGGTTGGTTTAATATTGATTGTATTAAAGGTCTTGGTTATTTCCTTAATAAATATAAACTACTACATTATTTATAGAGTACAAACACTATAAGTGTGTAACATAAATACCACTAAATACTGCTAAATTATGCTAATCCTATTGTTTTCTATTGTTTAGCACTATTTACTACTAAATGGTGCAAAGTGTTGCACACTTTTAGTGTTTGTACTCTATACTTTCATTAATTACTTTTATTTATATATTTTCATTTAATATAATTTTTACTAACTATTTTCCAAGCGCATTATAAGCTTAATCCCCACTTTATTTATTTCCCTATAGTTTTTTCTAATGTTTGGATATACCCCTTTGTAGGACCCCCTCCCCCCTCCCTTCCCGTGTAGATGTAGAAGAAAAGGAAAACTTCTTGTTTATTAAGAAGATAGGGCTTACACTACCATGGACCATAATTTTACTTATATCAGAAATTTTAGATGGAATTGAGTTACGTACACAGGAAAAAAACCRGATTCCCAAATTGGSAATTGTTGGGAATTTCCTTGAATTCCCAATTCGAACACCAACATTGGGATTTATTGTTGGGAATTTCCTTCTAATACCCAATAGAAAAACAAAATTCCCAACAAACTAACTTTGGGAATCATGCTGAGTGCCACGTTCCCAATTTTGTTCTATTTGGGAATTAGATGGGAATTCGTTGGGAATTCAAGGAAATTCCCAACAAATTCCCAATTTGGGAATCCGTTTTTTTTCCTGTGTTATCAATTCATGAAAGCTAGTGCTGTTTTTCAATCATTCCCAAGAGAATTAAATAACAAAAGACATGGTGGCAATATTGGATGATATAAYGAAAGAGACTAATGGTGAATCTTTTATTAAATTCATCCAACATGGCGGGTGTGAAAACYATCAATAAGCGAGTGGTTTTYRTCTCATATTATTTACTAAGGYGATTGCAGTTTTTGAGATTTTTGAACTGTTCATGGTTGTTTCTTTACCAGCTGGCACAAAGAAATACCCCAATTCACCCCTGGTATCCTCCAGGTCTACCAAGCAGCTTTAGTTTGTCTATCAAGAGGGATGATATGACGGGYAGCACATTATCTGGTAACAAGGTGAAGCACTAGTTGTTGTGTTGTAAGCTATTTTCATTGCCATATGCCAACCAGACTAAGATAGATTCACTGATAAAACACAGCAACTTAGCAAGAACTATTGTGATAATAGCTGACAAATTTACATCACAATACTAATTATTGCAAACACAACCTAGCACTAATATATGTAGCACTCATGCTGGTGAAATATCATGTGGAAAAGGTCTGGAAACATATCTAGTTTGACAGAACTATTTATTGAAAACATATAAGGTGATGATGATCCATAATGTCATTTTGTTTTGACGACAAAGGTACGAAAGCTAGAGTTTCTATTGGCTGATGCCTTGATCAAGAATTGTGACACTGTATTTACTTGTGGAGGAGTTCAGTCAAATCATTGTCGGGCCACTGCAGTAGCAGCAAGACAGCTGGGACTGGACTGTTATCTATTTCTGAGACATAAGGAAGAGGTAACAGTCAACAACTGTGAACTTTTTTGTTAGATGAGCATGTGTGGATGTTATATTATTATTAGGTTCCCTAGGGATTTCCTATGCCTATTTAAGAGTGGGGTTCAGCGTGAAAGGGTGCGAATTCTTGGAGTCGAGCTTGGAAGTAGTTTGGAAAGGAAGACAACCCCTTGATGGCGACAGGACTATTCCTAAAAGTTGTGTGGAATAAATAAAGTCGTTACATTTTCTAGAAATAAGTAGAAGTAATTTTACCTCTTTTTGTGATTAGTGAMAGAGACAAYGAGCCAAAATCCCATACATTATGGCTYAAGGCTTAGAGCATTAGAAACCTATGTCAGCAATATCCAAATAACAAGAAATTTGAAAACAAAATATAGAACCAAGGAAAGTATAATGAACCATCCCTGGAATTCAGCAAGAGTCTGTATCATAATGACTAGATCGGCATATCTCTAACTCCTGTATCCACCTTACAACATGGGTATTTACAGGCAGTGGAGCGTTATCTCTTTTAGTTTTTACCAAAAAAAAGTGGAACCAACATCCCACTATCCTCCAGTCAGCTCCTGACCTTAATTGTTTATGTTATTAACATTTCCTGGAACTACATCATTTCAAGTTTTAACTGTTATTATTTGTAGGATTCATCTATTGGATTACCTGGCAATGTTCTTCTTAATCGACTTGTAGGAGCAAAACTTGTCCTCRTACCAAATGAAAGTTATCTCAAAAGTTTAAAACCTAGAATGGAAAAAATGGCTGAAAAACTAAGGTGTGTACACAAAATGTGTAGCCATTTTATCTTCTTCACACCTTGTCATTTTAATTATATAAAACGAATGCGCTGTTGACCTAATTCATCTTGGTGCAATGTTTACCCATTTCAGACCACATGTAAGAATAAGATTCTTGGTTTGAGTTGTATCCATATTCATGTCATGTCTTCTCATTCATAACCATTGAACAAAGATATGATACTCTAGGGAATGACACATGTTATGAAATAGGAAAACATTGTTCCACGACGAATTAGATTAATAATTTGCAACTCCAGGTACTCACAATAGTGCATGTGTTTTGAGTGCATGTGTTTTGAGTGCATGTGACATAACATCCTCAGGTTCTTAACACATTTTTTTCCTTTTGATCCACAGGAGTGAGAAAGGCATGTCACCATATATCATTCCTGTTGGTGGGTCCAACTCTGTTGGAGTATTTGGATATATTACAGCTTTTGAGGAACTCATACAACAGGTAACTTAAGCTTAGGTTACTTAGTGTACAGGTTACTTAGTGTCAGAATCTGAAGCAGCATATGCAGACTCAGTAGTGTACAGCTTATTAACAGAACTCATCTTTTTTCACGCTTAGGTGAAAAATGTGTTACTGAGTCTGCATATGTTGATTCAGATTCCCATTCTGATGCCAGTGTAAACCAGGCCTTAGAAAACTTAGGAGATTCGTACAAAAAGATCATTTTGATTCTAGAGGCCTGAAAGTTTTGCCTTACTGCACACATGACTAGGCAAAGTTTTCAAATGTAACTTGTGTTAAAGAGTATGCTCAAGTTGTGTTAAAGTGTTTCTTTATACTTTGAATTCTTTGATTTGATGAGAGAAGGTTAGGTGAAGACTATTGCAACTCCCCCTCSCCCCACTGCCCAGCCCAAATTTTACTTTTGTTTTATTGTATTTTTATCATTGTAATTTTTGTTTAGAATGTTCTTGAAGATTATGATGATATTGTAATGTGTATTGGTAGTTCGGGAACAGCAGCAGGATTAGCAATTGGGAATTATCTTACTGGCTCAAAGTTAAAGTAAGTTGGCATCTGTTGGTTGATGTCATTGCTGTCACTTGTCTTTGCTCTTATTGCAGGGATGGCAGAGTTGGGGGGTAGGGACAGTTGGGAGTTTTAGTTCAGGCCCATCGCTAGGACCTTGAAAGAGGAGGTTCGTTTTTTCTACCAATCTTAGTTATGGCATATCTTGAGAAACTAAAATAGTGCTAAACATTATTTTGTACTCCCACAAGGTGGAGAGGGGGGTTCGTTCGAACCATTGGACCCTAGTGATGGGCCTGTAGTTGCCCCCGAAATTTTACAAGAATAAAATCCCATTCTGTGTTGGTTTGATTTCTGAATAAAAGAAATTCTGGTCCCTCACTTTAAAATATGCCCTGTATTGTACGCCACCTTCTGTGAAGGCACTTTCTCTTTGTCTCTTCTTTTGTATTCACTTTTCTGCTAGTGGGTTACCCGTATCCAAATCAAATTAACAGTGTGGAAATGAAGGGTAAAATGGGAAAACAAATAAAAGAGGATAAACCTCTGTTTTCCCCACTCTTTTGAGTCTTCTTCTTACCTGGTCTTTTCCAAGAATCCAAGAGAAAAAAATCAGAGAGAGCTGCATTTCCGAGTTCCATAAACATGATGCATTGTGGTTTGGCTCAGTATTAACAACACCATATAAGGCATAGTGAACAAAACATGTTTGTACTGAAGCTAGACCACAATGCACCACTGATGTTGGCTATCTCAGAAACGTTCTTTGAGAACGTTGTCAAACTTTTGATTGCTATCTTCCAGTCAGCTGCGCAAAAGAAACCTAAAATGTGTTATTTTTAAGATGCCATGCCGTGTGTGCTTGTGATGATGCCACCTACTTTTACCAGTGTATCAATGAAGAACTYGATGCCCTTGGACTGAATGTCACAGCCGAAGAGATTATAGATATCATTGAGGGATACAAGGGTGTTGGCTATGCTCTGTCGACAAAAGAAGAATTAGGTATTTAAGAAATCATGGAAGACTGTAGAACCAAGATGAAATCTAGAATCAAATGCAATCTTTGTTTTTTTGTTGTTTGTTTGCTTGATTCCTTGCTTGTTTAATTGTTTGTTTTTGTTTGTTTGTTTGTTTGTTTGTCACCACTGGTACCTTCAAATCTAGAATCAAATGCAATCTTTGTTTTTTTGTTGTTGTTTGTTTGCTTGATTCCTTGCTTGTTTAATCGTTTGTTTTTGTTTGGTTGTTTGTTTGTTTGTCACCACTGGTACCTTCAAATCTAGAATCAAATGCAATCTTTGTTTTTTTGTTGTTTGTTTGTTTGCTTGATTCCTTGCTTGTTTAATTGTTTGTTTTTGTTTGTTTGTTTGTTTGTTTGTTTGTCACCACTGGTACCTTCAAATCTAGAATCTTTTTTTTCAACTTCAGAGGACATCGTTCGTATCTCGTCCACAACTGGTGTCATGTTGGACCCAGTATATACTATCAAATCAGTGCGTGGAATGTTGAGCGAAATGACAAATAACCCTTCGAGATTCAACGGACGAAGAGTACTGTATCTACATACTGGTGAGCAAACTAATGCAAATGATTTTGATAATAAMGGTGATGGTAATCTCTCAGCTTCGGTAATTTCTGCACGATTTTAGGAGGGGTCTTTGGCCTGTATGATGGAAGAATGGACAGCATAATCCAAGATATTACYGCCAAGTCAAGTCCCGTGACAGTATGGAAGGATTCCCTAGACAACGTCCCTAGCTGTTAGTGCTGAGTAAAACAGATGACTCAGTGCATGATCAAAAGATTTGGTTGTGGTAGTCACATGACCAAGAGGAATTGCTACACTTGGTGGTCACATGACCAAGGGGAGGGATGCACATGGTGGTCACAATGACCGAGGGGAGGGGTTGCACATGTGGTCACATGACCGAGGGGAGGGGTTGCACATGTGGTCACATGACCGAGGGGAGGGGTTGCACATGTGGTCACATGACGAGGGGTGGGGTTGTACATGATGGTTTGTATTTGGTAACCTTGCACATCAAAAGGAGGATCGCAAACCATACCAAGGCTAAGGTATCAGGGTACCCCAAAATTGCTATGAAAGATTGATTTTTAGGTTTTTACATTTTGCGAGAGAATACACAATAAACYATTATTTTCCCAAAACATTTTCCAATAGCGTTTTTTAATAGCTATAGAGAAATAAACGAAAATCGACTTTTTAGCTTTAATAGTTTTCAATTTATTGTTGACATCACTTGTCAACGATCTGTCGTTACGTCTCTATCAGCCACTGTTTTTTTACCTTGGACGCTTTTGGACCATCGTTTTGATTTGCTGCTGCTTGCTTGCTCTTCTCTTTAGTTAGACGTACATTTAAAAATAAAAAGTATGTCCTGAGCGAACAAAACGTCTGAACTTGAATAATAGCGATGAATGCCTAAAAAATCACTACTGAACGGTAGTGAATAACAAAAGCTCAGTTAGGAATTTATCTGGACTTCCCGCCCTSAATAACAATAATAAAGTAATTCGATCTTGGTTTCTCGTTACTTTATCTGTCATCGGGGACACATTTTGGTGTCCGTAATCTCCTTATGTCAACAAAGGCACCTTTTGGCTTGAAAAACMATTTTGCGTTTTTCTCGGAAGTGAGTTTGCGTTCAGTTACCCRTACATTKTGAGTTCATTGTCAAAGGGAATTTGACCGATYTAACTGAAATTTTGAGGAAGTCATCTTGGATAGTTGTTCTTGTCTGCGATTTTTGATTTTTTTGCTTATTCCCAAAGTTATCGTKGATTTTGGCTCGGATACAGCTGATATAGCAGCGTCATAAMTTTAGGAGCGTATAAAAAAGCAACGGGGCAACTAATCAAAAATCGGAGACACACTTTTGACAAGTGATGCGTCTTGTGATTTCGGAAAGGTAATAAGCATTGGTACGTTTCCGCGAAGATGCCAAGGTGAAAATTTGAATAATTCGCTCTAACTTAAAAGGATAAATGTATTTTACAAAAGGGAAAAAAGTAATAGTTTCTACATTKATTCAGCTTTCAGAAAATGTATACTTTGTTRAGGTTTCGAYTAAAAGGTTTTGCGCTATTAAGAGTTGAATGCACACTGGTCGCTAGGGGTACACTGACACCTTAATATTAATAAACACCAACTAYAAGCAGCTCTTAAATCTCAGGTAGCCCCAAGCTCTGTTTCTGTGGAAAATTCGAGTTGAGGTTTTTGAAAAAGATAATTTTGGATCAGTTTTGATAACTCTAACTCTAATCCTCTGTTTATAATGATAACATAAATCCCGAAAAAGTTTCATCCTCCGGGGATTTGTTTTAATGATCTCCCTCTGGCATTGCYTTTGATTTCACTCCTATATTTTATGGATTTCGGAGTTGATTTGCTGAAGTGATCGCTCAAGCTAAGTGCGGCCCGCGGAGCATGAAACAAACTTTCGACGCCTCGTCGAAGACGAGAAAAAAAAGAAAGAAAAAAAGAATATGACGTGAAGAGGATTACATTGAGGACACTCAAAAAAATTCAAGTTTTTTCAAGTTATTATTTCCTAACTTTTCTACTATTTTTAAACCCTCTAAAATGAAGCATTGAGTTTCAATACGCCGAGAGCGATCAAAATATTTTTTTTTCAATCGATTGGCTCGAGATTTGTAAAAGGTGACAAAATGCTCGAAATGTTGACAGTTCGAATGCCCTTTCTTGCTGTATAATCTTTTCTCGAATTTGACATGGTTTCGAAATCAGTTTGGGCAAAGTTAATATTATAACTCTGGTTTGGGCCACGTTTTTGATTTGCCAAATTACTTGAATAAGCTAAAATGGCCTGACTTGATTATGTAATATATACTTTAATATATTTTTTACTTTTCTATTACCTGTAAATTTCATTGTTTACGGAAATGGCGTTCAGGTGTTGGCGAAGTGCACCTTAAATCGCACAGCAATTTAGTGATTAAATTTTCGAAATTTATTCAGTTTTTGGGTCTTTTGATGTTCGACCCTTATTACTGATTCGACTATCGATGATTCGCCCCTATAAATGGAACAAACTCTTTCAATATTTAGCTCCTTTATCTCATAACGGTTTAGTTATCTCATCCTGCTTATCGTAATAATGATCCTGTTGCCAGGGTACACTGGGATACCTGGAGGACCTGGAGGACCACATTTTATAATTTATAGATATTTTTAAAATGAATCACCATTTTTTTTGAAGAAAAATTAAGGGAGATCAAAACGYTTCGAACGGCAATGATCAAACCCTGGAGTGTGCGTAGCAAATTATTTATTTTTTATAAATAGAATCTTAAAATAAATATTGYTATGTACCTTTGTGAGTAGATTTTGAAGCCAAAACAGTTAATATAAATAGATAAATATAGGCTATAAGACTATATTGTCAAGTTCAAGAGAATAACGAGTCATGCTGAATGAATTTGTTTATACTATTGCTTATCGCGACCGACAGGTATCCCAGTAATAAGTTAAAATAGAAAGTAGTTTTCCGATCGACCTTWAAATGACGTAAGATTTGATGGTRTTAAAATGCTTTCAAGGCTTGGTAAACAATCTCTGCATCTATGATAATAAATCCTTTCCTCATGGAAATGGTAAGTTAAAATGGAAAGTAGTTTTCCGATCGACCTTATTAAAAACGACGTAAAATTTGATGGTGTTAAAATGYTTTCAAGCTGTGGCGGATTTAGGGGGGGTTCATTGGGTGCAAATGAACCCCCCACCGGCTGGTACCTTGGATTTTTTATATATTTTTTAAATAAATAAATAAAAGTATGGTAGGTCCACTTTTTGAAAATTAGCACCTTCGCCCACAATAATCGGGCCTGGACTGGTGGATAGGTTATCCTTATCAGGAGCGCCCCTAGGCCAGTGATGTGCCTCATGGGAAAAATGATGATGCAAGAGAACGTTATTGTTGTGCCGAGATTTGCAAAAATGATCCCCCCCTCTTAAAGTCCTGGATCCGCCACTGTCAAGGCTTGGTAAACTGCATCTATGATAATAAACTCTTTTCTCATTGGAATTGGTGTTTCTACATCGTTTATCGGCTTTATTTAATAAGCAGTTATGCATACGTTTTTTTTTAATTCCTAGCACTGACGTAATGAGGACGTTAAGGGTGACATAYAACACTTAAGTTTTTTCCCGGCAAAACTCAATCAGAAGGAAACCTTCTTTCTTCAGATAGAACCAGTAATGCATTTCTTAGATTAAGACTTCGGCTTCTTTATCTGGCAAGAGGGATATAAGAATCTGGTTCCCTAATGCGCCAGTCCAGTCCAGAATCTAATAGAATAACCTTCCATCCTCACATACCTGGAGACATGAGCAAAGGTATACGTGAAAAAACGTTGCTGTCTTGCCACTTGCCCTAGAAGCAGTAGCGAATACCAAAAGTCTACTCAAAATTGATCAGGCGAGCCTGAGCACCAAAYCCAAGCGCACATGGCGAGACGCGGCGCTCACGTGCGTCCATGTTTCCCGTCCTAGGACATCGTTTAGCTTCTGCTMGATTAATTTCCCATCGTCTGAAACCTGTCAAACCAAGAAAATTAGTTCGTTTAAATTAATTCTTGCAGCTTTATTATATAAGTACCGCGCTTAACTATATTTCTATTATTTTTCTCAAATGACTGTAAATACGTCAGTCTTTTATTGTTTTTCTTTTTATGAAATGGGAGCTATTACCGGTTAATAATTAAACTACGAGCTGCATCTGTTAATAGGATAAACAAGGATGATTAAATTCACTACATCAAAACTCTGCCAAGAGGATAAGTGAGTATAAGTAAATTCACTGCACCAAAACAACGATTTCTGAAAAACAAATGAACTATTTTAGTGTCTGACACATCGTTTACAGGGAGTGATCGACCAATTAATCACGTACGCAGTCAGAGTCCCTGTTTATCGTAGTGATATTATAGACCAATCAGACGATCGAGAATCGGCGCGCCAATKAATGAACGTCAAAAACGTTATCTAGCCCATAAAGGGACTTCCCACTAGCTGGTTTTGTCATGAACTAATGATTTTCCACCTAGTTTTGGTTATGATTGGATGAACCAACTTGATTGACAGTTGAGGCATAATGGCTTTCTCGTTAGGCGTCGTTGGGAACACAGGGTTTAAGACAACTGAGGCGCAGGGCGTATTTCCTTTTCGAGTTTCGTTGCATGATCGTAGAAGTCTTGCGTTGCACCGGCAGAAGATATCAGCTAATTAAACGAACATAAAGGGAAGTTAGAATCTGAGATAAAGAGAAAAATGGTAACTACAAGGTTTTTTTGCCTGCTTTTCGCCACTTTTTTCGTCGTTACAGAGAGTTTAGGTAAGTCCAACTTGTCATTTGTATATAGCTGTTGACAAAGATTGGATTCTTTACCAATAATCCATTATAATCTATTAACTTTTATGCTTAAGAATTTTTAAATGTTTTTTTGAAAAACTAAGCTTAATTTACCGCTTTAAGTAGAAATTCGGCCAAATGATTCAAGAGATATTAAAAGACAACTGCAATCGCAATGGYTTTTGTTTAGTAGTCCATCCATCCATTCCGAGGATCAATCCAGCCATTCCATCTATTAATCCATCCATCCATCAATCCATCCATCTACATCTTTGAGATTTGTTTGTCACCAAACTATAAGAGTTACAAAATTTAATCTTATTTTTTTTCTCAACTAGTTTTCCATCGTCTTCTTTATAGTCTTTCTAGAACTWTCTCGAGCATTCTCCCCTAAACCTATATTTTCTCTTTTTCAGACGAAAAAAAAAATCATTATCTCTGCGATATCAGTATATAGATCTCAGTAGAGGYTTAATAGTTCTGAACTGAAGTTGAAAATAGTGCATGCTTTTCTCCTCACTGTCACGAGAAATTCCATGCTTGTATTAACCAAAATGGCAACTCATGATTTTTAAAAAATAATACAAATTTCATTTAAGGAATTGTATGAATTTATACCAAACAAAAAAATGTGTTTCGTGTCACCTAAAACTATAGATCTCTGTTGACGGTATGGGTCAGATCATGATCAGTATATTGATTCGAAAATTTTAATCTAAAAATGTCTTATGAAGCTTCATGGTATATAGCGGATTCTATAATCTTAAACTCATTACTCTAAATTGACGTAACTAAACTGATAATAAAAGATATTTTGCACTCAATGCAAGGAAAAAAGCGATCATATTCCGAAATTCTAAGTACTTGTGTGAGTACTTTCTGTCTTAACTCTATAACAAAAATATCGAATACAAAATGGCCATTAAAAAAAAAAAAAAGCATAATAGGAAATTGAAAAATATATCCCCGGCTTTAGCATAAAAATATATCTGAATATAATGGGTACAAAGACTGATACTTTTACTTTCTATTAATGTTACTTACTTTATCTACTTCAAAAGTTCATTTTTTATTCTTAATATTTATGATTCATTGCTGCTGAACGAATTGTAAATTTTTGATTTTGGACAAACAAAAAAACAAAACAAAAACAATGTACTTAAGCTTAATGTCTCTGAAGAAAAAGATGTAAGCTGAAACTGTGCAGTAAATTATCACAAAAAAAATMTCGCTGGCTCTTTTGCTTTTCAGCTTTAAACAATCCCGCAAATGCTAATATTACATTGAAAATTTTAGTGAAAAAGTTGGGCGCAGTGCACATAATTTTCTAGAAACGAGGGGTAGAAAGTTTCATAGCTGAAACTTTTAGTTGGAATACAGTTGCCTGACAATGAGCTTTATCATGGAAATGCGGGAGTAAAAAAAGGTTTAGTTCTAGCTATTGTTTCGCTTTTTTTTTTTTTTCGTCGTTTAAAACATTTCACAAGGGTAATTAAATGTTACATGGTTAAGCTTTTCGCAAAGTCGTTGATTTTCACTTGGATTTCGGCTATAACAATTTGAACGTTAAACAGCCGGCCGAGTTTTAGCCAAATGAAGACAAGTCAACAGTCTTCGAAACATGATTCAAGAATATCTTAGTTGACGAAGAACTTCTGGCATAGGTTTACGATTTGATTATGATCATCCTAAAATAGAATTTTAATAGAAGGTAATGGACACGTAAACCTGTTTAACAGGGTTTGACAAAAGAAAAAACTTTGCCACTTGCGTTTATTGGAAAGATTTTCTCCTTTCGCTCGTGATGCAAATCGTCCGTCAAGAACGACGTATTGTGTTGTCACCCAGCATAATCAAAGGGGTATTTCTTGACAGATCCAATTGAACTAGCTGACAGAATATACAAATGAATCCGAAGATCGAATAAGCAATAAAAGGAGAGAAATAAAGCAATAATGGAGACTAATATTGAAGAACTTTCTTTTTYGTTCAGTATCGCATGTTATCCGTTGCCTCGTTTTTTCTTCTTCTTCCTACACTTTGAGGCGCTGATCATGATTTGCTATTCCTGTGTGATATAGCTATAGCTTTCTTATAGAAAATCTCTTTTTCCCGTTTGTGCTTTGGCTTCATGAAAGTTGGAATCAGGCGAACAACGCCAAAAATAAGCACAAACATAAGTACTTTTATCTAACGTACTCCTGCCAAACGTTTAATTAATTGTGCTGAAAGGCAACAATGCAATCAAAGCATACTAAGAGTACAGAGTACAGAAATATCTYGAGGTGCTGTTTTGATTCGCTCATAACATGACGCAAATACGAAACCTTTTTTTTTTTTTTTTCGATTCTTTTCTATTTTGGCTTTATAACAGTTTGGAAAAAACAAAAAAGCAAGCAAAAACACTATCACTTCGATCTAACGAAAGAAAAATGGGGGGGAGGGGGGAGCGTAAAATTTTACAAAATAATATTAATTGGATAAATTAAGGAAGATCAGGGCCGTAAAATGAGCTCAGAAATGGTAAACGCGTAATATTGTTTTTCCTTTTTCAAAATTTTGCTCTATTTTGACTGAAAACTGACAAAAACGAAGAGAGACAACGGAAGAATYATTTACAGGAAGGATAAGACTAACCATATATGTTAATAGATCTAAAGTTCGGGTCAATTGAAGTCTTCATTCTGGAGGCAAACAAATAATCTGGCAGCGATTTTCTATTGGATAGCAGTCAAAGTACGTTTCCCGACCCCCACCCCTGTTTTCCCGTTTTCAGTGGACGTACAAAAAAATAGTAAAGATGTAATATTATTATTCTCAGATTATTACTTTGTGCCAATCAATCAATATTGAGGATAAACATGTTTGTTATAACAGATGAAATTCAATTTTGCTGTTTACACAGAAAAAGCAAGTTGTCCAAGACCACTTAACATCGTCTTTCTTCTCAAGACATCAAAGAACTTCAATATACAGACATTAGTCGCTGCCAAACGTCTTATTAGGCAAACAGCCGACTCATTCCAAATTATCCCAAGACAAACAGACATGGCGGTTATTCTCTCCGGTCCCAGCGCCACTGTGGCGGTCCAATTTGGACAAAACGACACGAATCATTTCAAGCAAGAGGTAGATAAGCTAGGACTTTCTAAAGACGAACAATCAATCGTCTCCTATGACGGGATGTTTGACAGAGCGATCCCTTACGCGGGGAGAGCTGTCGTTGTCATGACAACTGGAGAAGACAACGAGATYGATGACCCAATTTTTATTGAAGCTGTAAAAGATATGAAGGTGTCAAATACAAGCCACGTTTTCGTKATTCAACTGACAGAAGGTCAAGATATACGACGACTTTTAGACATTGCTACTGATTATGATCTAATATATAACGTCAAGGACCTTCTCCGGAACGGAAAACAGCAGGRCAAATTTCACTTTCAAATCTGCAGTACTCTAGGAGGTAAGTGACGTCATAAAATGAGACGATCTACCTCGAATGCAACGTCCACTTAGAATGACGGGCCTTGATGGGCGTTGCCGCATCAAATGTAATACTGTAAGGAAATTAGATATATTAATRATTTTCTTTATCAGATTTACGATTGAATGGAACATCGTTAAACAGGGGATGTCTAGAAGTCTATAAGAACAAAACCTGGTCCCCGGTTTGCAGTCCCACATGGAACAACAGCCTCACAGACATCATATGTCAAAGACTCGGATTCAGCGTCAATGTCAGCATTGGAAACGACAGTGACAACTCTCTGTCATTTTTGGGCAAAGGAAGCTSTGGATTAGAAAATTCGTCCATCGAATACGGCTGCGAAACGATCGGAGGATCAAATGCATACAAGAACTGTAGCCGCCGTCCATCGTGTCGCCATATAGTCTGCAAAGGTTTGTTGAATCAGTTTTGTTACTTTCTCACACAGTCCCATGATTCACCGCGCGTTATACTTGTTACCAATTTTCCGTGCGACCTTGGAAAGTTCAATACAAGTACTCTGTTCCTCAGCCTAAGCTTAGATGTTGTTTAAAATATTCATGTGTTCCAGTAGAGGTCCGTGAGATTTCAAAGTATTGTATTAATTACTATGTAGGTATTTTTGAGTATTTTGACGCTAAAATGCAGAGGCTATTGTATATATCCCTGCCAAGCAAATGTCTATATTCAAGAAACACTACCTAGAAAATACATATACATACATACCTCAATAATTTWAAAAATAGTTTTGAATGATACATACCTGATATGCATGAGTAATCACCAAAGATCGCACGATATCCGCTAAGCACCATAACTTTCCTCATGAGCACAAATATCAAACGTCGAAYTTCACATGAGCCGAACYAAAKTGRAACAATRGATAACAAGGCGGTCTTAGGCCTAGGGYAAACGTCGAACYTTCCATGCACCGAACTTAATTACATCAAAGAATGCCGCCTCATTATCACCTGATATCCATTGTTTTTAATGAGTTCGGTGCATGGAAAGTTCGACGTTTGCCCTAGTAGGCCTTAGTTCGATGTCATTAAGTTCGACTGGCGAAGTTCGACGTTTGACCTTAGTCGACTAAGCCTTCACAGTTTCATGGCATCATCAGTACGATTTCACCAGACATTTTTTTCATTCCAATTTCATCTTTCAGTTCCCGTCCGCATATCAGGCTCTCCATCAAGGCCTCACATAGGCCTTGCAGAAGTTTTTTTTCTTGGCACTTGGGGTACTATCTGCAGTGATACATTTMATGAACACAGCGCTAACATCGTCTGTCAAAAGTTCGGATACCCGGTGAAGTCATTGATGACGTTTGTCGATGTGTCAAACGACATCTCGAGTCTTCCGACGATGTTGATGTCCATCGATTGTCCTGTCGAGAAAGGACAATTGGAGCAACACTGCAATTTAATAAAATGTGACAGAAAATGCTCAACTACCTGTAAAACTCGGCCAGCCTCTGTACTTTGTGGTAAAAAAGAAACTGTTATTCAAGGCGCGATTACACGAAACAATTTCCTCTGCAAATTGTCTCGTAACAGCGTTGCGACACAAGTTGCCAGAGTGTTTACACGGTGTAAAGGAGACGCAATCGTTTGCAACAATTTGCAGCAACTTGTCTCGCAACTTATGTCGCAACGCTGTTGCGAGACAATTTGCAGAGAACATTGCTCCGTGTAATCGGCGCTTTAGTTTTCTATATGTATTAATAATAATGTTTTAGTACATTGCTAAACCCGCGCCGCCTCTCACGCCTTGAGATCGATCTTCGGGCTCGCAATCGTGTGTGTGAATAGTCGTTTGTTGGTTCTCTCTGTGTTTGATGGTTTCGAAATGGTAAGCCTACCGATTCAATAAAAAGGCATGCCGTACTGACCGTGTACGTGCAAATCAGTAACGTACGTTTCCCACTCATACGAAAACGATTTCTATGAGAAACCATTTGAATGTTACGGCATGTCGTACTGTGTACGTGCTGTCAGTACCAGATGCTGCTTCCCACTCACACGAAAACCGCTCTCAACGTCAGAGTAGCGTTTTTAATAGACGCCTCTTCTGTTTTCGCGCCAATTTTTGAGTACGCGCAGTGTTATTCTGTCCTTGTATTTTTTCTCTGCAGACACTAGCAAAGGAGAAGCTACAGAGACAATAACAATCACAAGAACAACAGGACCAAAAATAATTATACCATGCGCAATGTATACTGTGATGGATGTAAAGTGGTACTACGAGAACGGTCATGAGCGTCGAGAGATAATAATGACTCATAATGCCTCCAGAATAAAGTTTAACAATAAGGACCAAAAGGAGTCCCGGCTCACCATACGCAAAATATTGCTTAATGATGGTGGAGCATATTTTTGTGAATCAGGATCCAGCAGAAAAATGACTTTCTTGTTTATAAAAGGTACACCTCTATACTATAATGCGTACACCGATCTATTATTGAACACATATATTTTCCTTATTGACCTAAAACAGATTTCCATAGTACGACCACCTCTATTATTCTACTTATTGACCTAAATA